AACACCACTGTCGCTTGTCTGCTCGCACTGCCCGACATGGAGGACCCCAACGCGACTGCTAACCTCCCCTCGATACTCCCGCAGAGATGGCCTGCCGTGAGAGATCTTCTAGGCGAACTCGACCAATGCTTGAACCACCTGGCAGCCGGCCCTGGGCCGAATATTACGGATATCTACCCTAGGCTCCATGAGCAGTTCTGGCGCGCTTCCTACGCCATCAATCGCCACCAGTCCCAGTCCGACAGCGACAGCAGCAACCACAGCAATAATCGCGATGTGCGAGAGTGGCCGGCATTTATGCGAGAGAGAGTCCCAGACCTCAGACTCCAAGCCACTCTATTTCCCATCTTTGCGCCATCCTACAATACGATTAAGCTGAATCCGAAGCACGCCCAACGAATCAATAAAGCCTGTCAGGACCTTGGCTGCACCGTTTACGACCTCTTTTTAGACTTCAGCACCGAGGTTGCCAACAGCACACACGCCCTACAAGCCATCTCGTCCCTCTTCTACAGACACCCAGAGGTCACCCGAGATGCGCTCGTCTCTGCCGTTCAGGCCGAAATGCTGTCGCGTCCGAGTCTCACTCCAGATACGCCGCCCACTCCAACCGTTTCTGAAGTCACCAAGGCGATCAAGAGTAAGTCATTTGTCTATATGGCTCTGGCTGATATTGTGTAGAACTGTATTTATTATTTGGCCTATTGCTATTGAGTGGGATAATCCCCCTTCGCAGCCTCAAACATTTTCAACGACAGATACAGTATTTTAGTCCTACTAGGTGTTTAGTCACAAGCTAACTGTGGTCTAGAGCTTGCACCAGACGTCGGATCTCGCGCAACCTCTCGGGCGCCCTCTCTCGCACCATCCGCCAGCCGTTCGCCCAGCGTGGCGCCACTCTCGAATGCCCCAGTCCTGCCAGCCAACACAGCCCAGACATCCACTGTTGCAGCATCTCGTGAGATGCCACCTCGAGCCTCTCGGAAGCGCGCTGCCAAAGCCATCACTGATGTCGCAAGCTCCAGCAAAGGGCCCGCCGCCAAGAAGCGCAAGGTGGCAATTCGACGCACCGATAAGGATATGGATGCAGATAACGACGATGATGATGATGAGGAGGATGAACTGGGTCCCGCAGACCAGTCCAGCCAGATCCCATCCGCAGAGGAGCCCCGTGGCGACGGCAATACCATTTTCGGCGCCGACCAGTCCTTACAAAGCTTTTCAGAGCTGTCCTCGGCTGTTCGCACACCAGAGACAGTTCGAAGAGAGCGCGCTGCCCCTGGCCTGCTGCCCCAAGTCTTGCGGAACCACCTGCGCAGCGGCGCCAACATCGAGCATCCGCGCAGGTCTGCGTCTGGAGATCCTGGTGAGGACAAGGCCGCCGAGTGTCTGGCTCTTTGCCGACAGCTTTTAGCTGTTACTGATGGTGGCATGCCGCGAATTGGGAATGACCTTTTGCGCGGATCGCTCTACACGGTGTTCGCTGCTGCGCGGGTGGCCGTAGAGCTTGACGACCAGAACCAGGATGGCAGTGGAAGTCAGTAAGTCTAGCATGGCTGGTGTGTGTGTGTTGTTTGTTTCGTTGTTTGGTCGCCGTCTGTCTTTTTGGTCGCTTTTTTACTGGCACTTCGATTTTGGTAAACCTCGTGGGGTGCATCCCAGAGTGGGAGAGCTGCGGCATTATATCCAATTCAACTAACAGGTTGCTGCCGCGCCATTTGTGACTTTTTTGACTGTGTTTGAAAGCCGTATCAAATCCTGCCCCTATTCAAAAGATTCTATCCTCATCCTGACATCGTATTCTGCATCACTGGAGACATGGAGATCAGAACACGTGTACAAACAACTCGAGCCTACAATGTTTCTGCAGCAGACTCTCCGAATTCCCAAATCAAAGGAGGCTAATTATACGCTGGATGAGGCAACTCTAGTGATCTAGTACCCTTTGAAATTTTGAAACTAACTTCAGATCGATGCTGCCGCTGCTCACCGTGTTTAGTATTGGAGTTCGAGTAAGTGAGGTCCCTCACGTGTACTATAGATCTTTCTTCCCTTCTAACTTTTCTTCCGCAGTTTACCGCCTAGAGGCGCACCTTATTAACTACTATATAACTCTTATAGGGAAATAATTAAGGGTTAGGATAGTTTATAGAGAAACCTCTATAGTTACTTATAAAGGTATATAAAAAAAAAATTACTTTAATTATAAGAAGTAAGTATCTCCCTCTTTATATTACTATAACTTATTACTCTTTTAATATTAAAATAATATTACTATATTATATTAATATTATTTATTACTACTTTAAAAGTAGTAATAACTTTTTTATAATTACTTAAAAGAACTAGGATAAAATATATATATTTTTATATATATAACTTAATCCCTTAGTATAAAACTTAATAATATATTAAATATACTATTACTTTTTATTAATATACTTTAATAAAATAATATATTATTAAACTAAAGTATAAAGATATTTTAAGTATATTAAAATAAACTTTAAAATAAATAAACTATATAACGTTAATTAAATTAAGTATCTTATATTATTAAAGTATAGTACTTTATTAAAAGAACTTAAGGATATATATATAATTACTATAATGTAGTAGTAGTTAATATTAAGGAAGTTTTAAGCCTACCTAGTAGGAGTTTTCATAATAGGGGAAAAAGCAGTAAAAGCACCTTAGTTAGTGCTTAGTCTAGTAGCTTCACAGTATATATACTTAAGGGTCTAAAATAACTACTTACACTAACCTCAACTCACTAAGTAAAAGCATCTAAGCTAAACGTACATACTATTATAGCTATTAGCCTTATTAATAATAGCTTCGTTACTAGTAAGGTTAATAGCCTCACCTATATAACTTACGTAGTAATAGCTTTATAAGGTCTTTAGCTATAGAAAAGCTTATTTTAGCTATATACTTAAGATGCTATTACTTACTAAGCCTTAAACTTATCCTTTATCCTTAATCCTATATTAATACTACTACTTATTATAAATAAACTACTTAGATTCCTTTATAATATATTCTATCCTACTTAATCTATAAAGCTTTATACTATAAAGCTTTATTTAAAATATACCTTAAGATATAATAATTAATACTAACTATAAACCTAAGCTTATTATAATTAATAAGTTAATACTCTTCTACTTATAAAGCTTTAAAGATAAGATAACTATAGCTAAGTTATACTTAATAGTCCTAAAAGCTAATATTAGTAGTATAGCTATAAGAAGTACTTATATACTTTAGCTAAGAGATATAGCTATATTTACTACTAATCCTAACTATTATACCTATTTTAATAATATCCTTAATAGGGTAGTATAGCTAGTAAGCTAACTTAGCTAAATAATATTATAGATATTACTAATAACTATAGAAGGGTAAGTAGTAGAGAAGAAAGCTAAGTAATAAAAAGTATATATAAGAGTTAGAAGATAGATTAAAAAGTTATAAAAAATCTACTATAGTAATTAAGTCTAGTTAAAATTATGAAGTTATTATTAAAGTAACGTTAAAAGTAATAAGATTATCTAATAGATAGCGTACTTTAGCGCGCGTGGGGGAAATAAGGCTAAAGCTAGAGATAGCGATCTACGGGAGATCACATAACTAGTAGGCCGTTAGCTAAAGGGGGAAGTCAGAGGTCGTTGCAGTACAGGTTCCAGGTAAAAATCACAGTAGCTGGCCAGAGGCCATAGTAGTAGTTAATAGGGGCGGTTTACTAGATATATAGGGGGTAGTTAGAGTAAGGGGGACCTCTTATATATCCCTAGTTATATAAAAATTCACAAAAGAATTCTTCACAAAATGGCGTGTACTATGGTTAGAATAAGCATGTGCTCAACCTGTTTCAAGTCATACATCGCTCAGCCATTAACATTGGGCACTCAGATGCATTTTGCTTAAGAAACATGGCATTTTGTCCTGGCGCTCCAGGAAGAAGTTGCAAAATCCCTTACAACAGTGGTGATTATCAGACAAGATGTCTAATCATGGCGTAGCATCCGAAAGCACAGGTCGACGGGGACCACGAGTACTGCTCACACATACGTGGTCGGACAGCCTGCAAGAATTCCTGCGGTAGCTCGCCAGAAGCAGGGCTCACTTCCGCGTTGGTGACCATGAACTGCTGCCCGACTTCACGTCGTGCCCGATGGCTTTTCCAGATAGCCGTTCCCGCCTGGGGTGGAAGTTTCGCGTGGCAAGTCTGCAAGAGTCGCTCTCCGCCTGCCTGCGGAAGACTCCCGACAAGGGTCGCCACATCTGCGGACCGCCTTTCACAGTGCGGCAGCTGTTGCAGAGTTAGAAGCTCGAGCAGTGCTTCGGCCCCTCGGACTATTGAAGAAGCGAAGTCGAGACGAAGATGATGATAGAACAAAGATGATGATGATAGAAGCCGTAAGCAGCAGGGATGAAGGTAGTAAAAGAACGAAAATTTAAAACAGAAATGATGCATAGGCAGGAATAAGAAGACTTCTGGCACGGTGGCTAGAACAATACAAGTAACTTAACTTGGAAGAAAGAAAATCCTTGAGTAGACAGCATTAGGATGTACCCCCCGTGATGCAGAAGCAGTTGCTGCAAGCGGTGATCATGGCTACACCTGATTGAGCCCGGGAGAAAGGTGCGCTTGAAATCACGCATGGCGGAACGCCTCTACTGCTGGTCTCTGAACAAAGCTAGTATATGAAGGCATGCCTAAAGACGAAGATGGAGCTGTCTCAAAGGCTTAGAGCGTACTTATTAGAGCTGAATGATCTGTAGCCGTACCCGTGAAAATGTCTTGGGTCTCTATTTGGGCACTTTGAAGCTTGTAAACGGCTAATGGAGCATAGAATAGATAGATGGGGTTTGTGAATGATGCGTTAAGTTGGCGTTTTCACTGGAGAAGACATAGGCTGCGACAAAGAGATGGAGCCGTTCACTTGTCTAATACTTATCCGTTCCCGAGGAGGGTTTTCTCAGCACTCAAGCCATTATTCAAATACTGATCGGAATTCAGAATCATATTCCAAATATCTGTCTGTAGGAGAAAGGCCGATGTGGCGTATCTGGGTACCGGCCACGATGCCGGTCCAGAACGGCGTGTTGTAGGCGTCATTTTCGAAGTATTTCCGAGTAACAATCATCGACGCCAAGAGGCGTAGATGCCGACTATTTTCTGTAGCCAGAGTGCTCTGCGGGCGCCGCACAGCTCGCTCCAGGAAGATCAGACTGCCGCAGAATGCCGATCCATTTGTGTCGGCCCGTAGCAGAAGAAAATGCAGAAAGACCTCTAAACCTGATGGAAAGTCCCATATATCGGCGTTGCAGAACAGCAATCGCTCAAGGATGTGCTTGATCAGGCCCTTGAAAAGACGTAGAGAAGGAGTATGCCATAGAACTGTTCGAACCATATAACATCCACTGACAGGTTCCTTGATAAGGCGAAGACTCCTTGCTGGTGAAGGTCGACGACGGCGTGAATGGCGGGCGTCAGGCGGGATTCACAAGACACCCTCAAGGATTGGCGCATTTCCACTTCTGTTAGCATGTCGGCCGTCAGATGGTTGGTGTCAACCCCCGATGGCCTTCGCAGTTGACAGCTGGGAATGACTGTCTCTACTTGATGATGGCTATTGAGTGAGCAAAGAGCAGACGTCTTCGAGATACTTAGACAGACAAAGGTCAGAGTGTGAAAAGTACTGCAGCAACGATGGAACCTCGCCGCACATGAAGCATATGTTCTGACGCGGTCGAGCTCGACGATCTGGTGACTGGGCTTACAAGGCAGGCCAAAGAGCAGCACTATGCAGCCATATCTCTCTTATGGCAGCAGAAAATCGGGCTCCATCGTAAGCTGAAGGTATAGCGGCAGCCATGGACGGTCATAACAGGCCCCGTGAGAGAACTCGTTGAGTTGACGGGTCAGCTACAAGATCTACACATGGAAACACTGTCGCGCATGGAGACGGAACAGCAACCTATCTCGCGAATTGTACCGCATTTGAGGCTGCCAAATCAGACGATGTGCAAGCACGAAATAGAGAATCGGACTTTGGGCGAGTCGAGGAAGATGGTGACGCGAAGAAACAGGTCAGATCTTGCTCCCGCGCAAGTCCACAACATGGTTGTAAATCTTATCTCCTCTTCTACAAATTCTCTCTTCAAATAGAATTGGCGGTGCATGAGGCTCTTCTTCCAGCATCTGCTACGTACTTTGATGTCCTGTTTGAGCAAGATGTGGGGTTGGGCTTATGACTATGCTTCATCGCCTCGCTGGTGTTGTGTGTGGTATTAATCAAAAACCCCACGGCAAGATAGACTGCAGTCAGCGACCATGAAATACGTGACTCTGTCCTTCTCAGGCACGATGACGATGAACATAGAAGAGAAATAGTTGCACCTCATGTCTTTATCTGATCCAACAAAACATGCACGCGTCGGAGACGAGGCTTCCCTACCTGGATTCCAATCTTATCCGGCTAACTTATCTTCCTCCACTGCTGCTAAATGCCATTTTTGATTCGGTCCAGGTTATCCGCAATCAATTTCGACGGCATTCCCTGATACACATATATTCGTCGACGTAAGCTTTCGCGACGCCGAATCTTTTTACCGTGTTCATCGGGTGTGTCTGGGCTAGTACCGGGACCTGAGCCAACACTTTCGCTGTTCATCACAGTTGACTCCGACTATTTTTCTGGGTTCGGTTCGTCAGAGGGATCACTGCTTCTTGGTGTGAAAGCTCCTTTGTGACGTGAGACAATGCCAGGACAGCCTCGGTAATCTGCTCCAAAAGCCCTGCAGGAAAGGCGCAATTATGACTTTTGGCTGATGATGGGTCTGCTGTAATAGCGATAGGAGACAGAAAACGCAGTCTGGATTTATGGGGACTTGGTCGTTGTGGTCGTTATGAAAAGTGGTTGGTTCGAGGTGAAGTAACTTGAGGCGTAGATAGCGATCGGTCTTGTAGTCTTCTCGTCTGCTTACCCCCGCTGGAAGCATTTACGATGCCTGTCAGAGGCAGTCTGCCAGGGCGTGAGTGATCGCTGCCACAGGGCATAACGCCGGCTATGTATAGTTGTCTTCTGGGGGAGTGCTGAAGTTCTCTTTGACATTGTTTTGTCATATCTCTCTCGCCTGGCTCACCCACGAAGGTAAGAGATGGTGGCGAGCGTAAAGTTCCGTTAGTGAAAGCTGGTAATGCTGTCCTGCTGCAGATATTTTATGTTTTTACTTGCTTAGACCAGCCACGATCATGGCTCTTGTACCCATCTTTGATTACCTCGTGACCCCGTTTTCACCAGGTGGTGATTGCGTGAACACCATGTGAGGATGGGGCAAGAATTGAGAATCTTACTGTCCGAGGGAGCAGCTCAAGGGCCAACCGAGCAGCTGGGAACAGGGCTCATTGCGCCGGGGGAGCTTCCCGTGGAGTCTGGCGCTGCGGGATTGCTTCCGGGGAGGCTGTGTGATGTCCGCTGACTGTCGACACGTAGGCTTGAGTCCCAAAACCGCTGACTCTTCAGAATAGCTCCCGTCATGGCGATTCCCATTCAAGAACCTACAGTCAATGTATTCTGAGCCTTTATCACCACATTTCTCATAAAGGTTGCCGCTTTGGCTCCTCTCTGGATCTCCAGCAATAACTATGTACAGTTACATAAGTTTTTCTCCTTTTACGACCATAGGTTTGGTCTCACCTGTGTTGATGTCCATGGTGAAGCGACTAGCTGGGCGGGTTTGTGCCATTGAACATTTGCCCAGGTTGGGCGCTAGGGGCAGCTTCTCGTGGGAACGATTTGGCTCTTCCCAAGCGGTAAATTCTGGAGGAGGTTGGGCGAGCAGAGGCATGCATGGTAAGTAAAATCCCGGAGGCGACGCAATCTCGTCCTGAGATGATGGGTTCATTGTTGTTGCTATGACAGAATTGAGTCCCAATGATGGTGCAATGGGGCCCCAAATGCCTACGACAATGTTTGGAGCGTGGTTCCAGTCTACTTCGGTGTTGAAATCGCGGTCATTAATACGGCAGAAGTTGCCTGAATCGGCTGCTTGTCGTAAGCCAAAGCATTGCGGAATGCAATGGGAGCATACCTGATGTGTGAATGATGGTTTAGGTATCAGTCGCAGTCAGAGTTCTCGAAGCTGGCACAAGTCCTAACAGGAGCATTGATCGTAGGAGGGTTCATTGCGGTGATTGTTCTACATTTTAGCGTTGGCGTTTCGGCTGCGCAGGCTTCTGCTTACGCTTTTGCGTTTTCCCTTCGTAGAGCCTTCTCATGGACTTGAGTTCTACTTGTTTGAACTGTGGTCCATTCATGATTGGCGGAAGAAGAATATGAGGATGGATGTATCAGTTGACGTGACTGACGTAACCGCGAGGATGGGCGGTCTTTATGTATGATATTAGGAAGCCATTGTGCAACGACCCCTGTCTTCCCGGGCAGCCTAGACAGTACGGTCGGACGACGGTTGCAGTGGGACTATAAAACCCACTCATAAATTCACAGAGCAGCCCGCCGCTTCCAGACCTACATTAGGTCTCCATGCTGGGACTACGTGACCCACTTGCGCAACGGCCTCTCCGTCATTCCGTACCATATATTCCAGGATACTTGCTTCCGAGGCTTGTCGAGGCTTCCAAAACCCGAGCTCTGCCCTGGTTAAGTAGCGTTTCGTCCGGTCCCAAAGGGGCAGTGTTAGCAGACTCGCCAGGCTGAACGTTGACTACGGACGCAGTAGCGCCAGTCTTCAGCCCTTGGCCAAGATTCATAATCACGTCACCAACTTGGAGCCCGGCTAGGTCTGTTCCTAACGGCACAAGTCATAGGTGGCGAACCAGGACAGGTGCCCATCTGATGAGACTGTTGGAGTCAAGATTGCTCCGAAGGAGGCTTGTTCGGCTGGACCTGACCCTCCATCAAGCCCGGTAAACCTGTCATTCGTTATCCATCTCCGCTCGTGAAGGTACTCCATGCGTTTCTATAATCAAGCGCGCGATTCCCCATAATTGATCCACCTCGGAACCCGTGTGGTAGTCTCGAACTGTGGGCATGAGGCAGGATTCAAGCCGGAACTGCCAGCTATCCTGGGACAATGTTCCTGGGAAACCCAATGCATGGAGCAACTTCCAACATCTTTCTTTCCTTCTAAGCTTTCTTCTTCGCAGTTACAACTGCCAACATTCCAACTTGCTACGCACCGACATGCGAAAGTCTACGTTCAGGAAAGGGGAGTCCCGCCCGTCTTGGTAGCGAGCCTCTGCTTTTCATCTTGCGAGAGTGCACCCCATATAGTGGAAGTGACGGCCTCCATCTCGTCTTGCCGCGGTTCTTCAACTATTGCACCCTGGCTGGGATGCGTAGGTGCCAGCATCAGCTGAACCCCGGGGTATCGGGGAGACTTCTTCGCCATCCATGTTCCGACTGCGGATCAACGTTACATGAGCCAAGTGATCGAGACCAAGATGGCGCGTTCAGGTTCCTATTCAACGGCGAAGCCGCGAGGCGTACATGGCTAGATCGGCATCATCATCAGCGGCAGCTCGTCAGGGGTAGGTGAGGCGGGCCAACGGGTGTCCAGGCTACGGTCGAGATGTTGAAAAGCCAAATGTAATTATGCAAGTATAACTGATCTTCACCCTTGGATAATGCGCCTCCGATACCCAGCTGCGGCCTTCGGCCACACTGACACTGTCCCATCTCCACCAGAAGTCCAGCCGGATACCAAAGTCCGAGACATGCGATCACTCTCCCCTTCTTTACCCACTCCTAGTTACTGACAGGCTGGAGACTGCTAAAATCCGTAATGTTCTGGTTAAGCTTTGCCTCCCTTTGCCTGAAAATAGCCTGCAAGGGACACCACTAAGCACCCACCGTGGTACTTGACAGAGCACTTTCGACGACTGCGGCATGGTTGCGTGGTCCTGAGTCCACATGATGACTTCGGCTGAGCTGTCAAATCACCAGAAAAGGTATGTTTGTGTTTGAGGGAAGTCCCACAGGTCATCTCACAGTCTATCAGGGATCATCAAATTACTATTAGAAGAAATAACTTTAGGTGCGCAAAGTACGACGAGGCGGACAGTGAGTGGAACCATTGATGATGATCAACGACTTGCTAGGCGTTCCCCCGGGTCGTTCAGATTTCGACATCGCCAATAAACATGACCGGTAAGGGTAATGGGCAATGCACTAGATGAGGGTGGACAATATTACCACGACAGATAATACCATTGAGGAAACTAGTGCCTTTGCTTCAGCAGGAGAGTTTCGGGGTTTACTGTCCGGTGCAGCTTTTTTTTTGATCTGGTGGGTCATCCTTGTCTAGAACATGCAGGATGTCACGATGTGTTAGGTGGCTGATGCAAATGGCACGTGGAAAGTGGCGTTACGCCTGGGAACAGGTGAAGTAATGACCTTGGGCGATTGGCACGGATCACCCCAAGTAAGGCACGTATCTTCACAGTGCCCCACGGGGACTGGCGACACTCATCACTGAGAAAAGACCCGGTCCTCCGTCTGCAACTAAAAGGGGTGCCCGCAGCAGGGCTCAGCCAGCTGGAATTGACGCAAAACCAAAGGCGACAACGATGGACGTCACGCTCAACCATTGAGTCGGGTCAAATTGCCTGTGCAGCCCAGCTATACTGCCTGTGTCGGGGGCACAGCGAGGGCTTGAATTGGACGTGCAATAGCCTGCCGGATTCCCCTGCGAGTGCGCCGGCGGGCACTCGGCTCGGTCCCGGGCCGGGGGCCCCACACCGGCAGGATAGCGGGGCTGCACAGGCAATTTGACCCGACTCCAACCCTTATCAGATATAATATGTCAATGATGTCGAAGAACCAGGCTTTGAGAGGCGTAGCGACTTTGGCTGCCCACATTCTCATGGAGAGAATTTGAACAATGGACGACACTCTTTACACTGGGTCTCTGTAGAAAAGACCAGCTGCGAACCCGGGTGGTGGACGTCTCCGAACTGCAAATCACCCGGTGATCCGTGCAACAAATTGCAAGGTCCTTTCACATGACGTTCCGAAGCGGCTACTACTTTGGGCAGCGTCCATATAACTACCGAGTACCTTTTTGGTCCACGTTGTCAGCGGTGTGCGCCACGGAGGGCTGCCCCACCGACTTCGGTGTCAGCAACATGGGCGCTGAGGGCAAACAATTCGCGGGCCGAATGGCCGTCCTCTAGCCCCAGCGCTGTGCCGGGGGCGAAACCTATCCCGGACCGCCAATGGCTTCCAATGATGGATCTCATCTTATCGTCGGCGGAGTAGTCGGCGATGCCTCTGTCGGAGCTGAACATGTCTCGTAAGGCCTGTTCGCTATGCTGCGATGGGTACTTGCCGTTAAGAAAAAGTACAGCCGCGGGATGGATGACTGTGGTAAAACCACGAACCCGTATTATTAGTCGTACGAGGGAGCGTATGATCGGAATAAAAGGGACTCCATGAGGCGTGAATACCTGATTCGAAAAAGATCCGAAGCGGGTGATGCACTCGTCCACGCAGCTTGAGATGGTATTTCCTCTGCGTCCTGCCGCTGTCGATGCACAGCACCTGCGCTGACGCGGTGTCTGGCTTCACGCAGCTGCATATCAATAGTATGTCAGTAGAGGATACACTTGTCGACGTTTGCTTCGAAACTTGCAGACATCATGCTCTTTTTCTCTGATGAGCTGGGTGAGGCTGTCACCGCTCTTGAGGTAGCGGTCACAGAGGTAGTGAATGTAGTATTGCTTCGGCATTTTGGTGTAATGGGTTGTGGCAGCGTGAAGAGGGAGATGCCTGCCCCCTGTAATCGAGGCGATTCGCGCTCTCTTCATATACCCCCATAGGTGGCCATAGAGGTTTCTCTCCCAGGCCATCCTGGCCCTCGAATATTTCCCCGTGAGAGTCATACGGCAGTCAACAAGGTGCGCCTCCAGGCGGCAAACTGCGAAGAAAAAAGTTAGAAGGGAAGAAAGATTGTCGACTTCGACAAGCCACGGATCGGCCGCACTCGCGACGCCAAATACCCTGACACAGTTCTCGCACTGGCTGTGGCCGCAGGCACTCGGGGAAGACCTGCGGGCGGCGGCGCAGGCCCGCATAGCTTCTGTGAAGTATGTGCGTACTTGAGTAACCATGCGAATTGGAGTAGCCGCTGCGATACTGTGAAGAATGTCCATGTTTTCTGATCTCTAGTACATGGGCTCTCGCACCGCCATCTCTTCATCATTGGGTGCACATATCGACAGATGGCTACAGTACATCTCATGCCTCAACAGCCCCCCGCTTTGCGGTAATGCAGCAGATATCTCACTCTGAACGAAAGATATGCCATATGGTTACAGAAGTTCAAGTTCGGGATATCGGTGGTTCAGAACTAGATTAAAGCAGGCGGCATATGCTTTCTTGTAGAGCCAACCTCCAAGATCGTCTCGTGGCTGCGTACGCTTCATCCCCACACCAACAAACCCGAACTCATTACCTCTTCGACCCCGTCTCGCAGGAGCTTAGAGTACGTCAAGGTTGTCTTTTGGTACTGGCAAGTCTTGCAGGTATAGGCTCCGTCTAGGCCTCTGCTGAGCCCGGAGAGACGAATGACCAGGAGTCACGCTCGTCCCCGCAGCCACAGCATTGGTCTCCTCCACGACTGTCAAAAATCTGACAATCATATGTCGAAGTTGCGTCTCTGGTTCCTTCTAGAGCCACGCTATTCCGGCAGTTGAGTTCCTTTCTGAAGCGACAGGAGTCTCTCGTAAGCTCTTCTAGACGATTTTCCTTGCTGACTGGTGCCCTTCGCAACTGGATAGTATTATTTGCAAGGTTGATTGCATGGGTCTTCCCACCCAGGGCTGCGACTGCGTTGTCTATGTCGGTTGGCAGATTCGGCAAGTCGATTGACCGACGAGGACGATTCAACAGTCCAGCTGTCATATCAGTCTGTGTTGCGGATGGGCGAAAGTGTCTATTTGATTCTGTGCCACGCACATGCCGCAAGCTGTTTTATACAGAACTACCAAATAACGTGATGCAAAGCTTGTAAAGCGAGCCGGGTCTTAAGTTCAGGAGATCTCTGTGAAGAATGCAAGAGCCCAAACGCCGGTGGTGCTGTCATGGTCAATTTAGCATGAGAAGAGGTCGATTGAAGCTTTCGTGCGCCAGCGAACCACGAGACGATCCCATCCCAGCGTATCAACTGTGGCGGAAATAGTTCTTGACATGAACCCTTCCGCAGTGGGCCGATGATGGCTGTGCCGGACTGGCCACGAGGGAGACCCGGTTTCTGGAAGACAATGTCGGATGTCCGTATGAGTTGACATACACCAAAAGCACATTATGCGTTCTGCTGGCAGGATCATAGTCTAGGACCGCCTTGCTGTGTAGGTGATATAAGAACGATGGTTGGTATGCAACCATGGGAATTGGGTATGTCCTGCTAACGATGCTTAGGACCAAACTGCTCAGGCAAGACGAGCGCTGCTGCCTCGCCATCTGCCTGGCAGTGAACTGCCCCCAAATCGGACTGACTGACGATACGCGGTACCCGCCCTTCGACAGAGTCAAGAAAGACCTCAGACGCGTTGCAGGAAGCCGAATCATCAAGCACATCATCAGCTGTTGATGTGGTCCGCTCCACGGCAAAGAGTTCGCCGTCAGGGTAGCAACGCTCTTGGCCTGCCTGAAAGTGTGCAGAGCGCCAGATGAATCTGACGAGATGCCGCCAGGAGACAACATCAACCTCGTGTTCGAACTCGAAAAGATACTGTGCTTCGATATTGACGACATGTTTGTTGTGATCAACGTGCTCCAGCACGTTGATCACGCAGACGACGCCGTCCACCCCAAGATCCTGCGCACTGCTTTCAATTCCTGTAACGACGTGGTGTCGGAGAAGATGCTTTACATCGACTGCTGCGTACGAATTACACTGGTACCCGACACCCACGAGTCGTCTGTGCCTCGGATACGGGCCGTATTCGAGCTGAACACTGCAGATACATCTGAGCTAGTCCTCGACATGCTCAGCCAGAAGCTGGAGTTTGCGGGCCATCCAGCATGTCACTTGGAGAAGCTTCTTTCTGAGGATGAGTATGTTGGAACATCTGACTTTGACTCTGGTGGAGGCTTGCCCTTGTCAAGGCAGAGCGCCAAGTGTGACGATGAGTATGGAGTTTCGAATCAAGAAAATAACCTTGTCGCGAAGATGACGTTTTCCGAATGGCTCCGGACTTGACTCTCACCTCTGCAGCCATGCTGAAAGGAAACAGAGATCATATTTATCGCAGAGCTCGCCCGACCAAAGGGATGCACCAGAACAGACGCTTGTATGTCCAGTGCAGAAGATTGCCTGTCATCGGTGAAAGTGGCTTCGTGCCATTCTAGCGCCGGACCATGAGAGCAGGTTCCGTCTGCTTCAAGCGAGACCAGAAGTGTCATCCGGCACCGCACACATCTCACATGTATGATTGAGTCTTGACTGGGGCAGCAAGGCCTCTAACCGCACGACGTCGCTAGGCCCAGCGTCAAAGCCCTTGTTGCCAGCCGTTCGCGTCAGTGTCTCCGCGCGTGCTTGCCAACGCATCCTCTGCAATGTGTCACCGGTCGCCAGCTCTCGCAGTGCTGCTCTTCCATTTTGCGAATACCACCGCGAAAGACGTCAGCCGTCGACATCCTATGCAGGCCCCGTCATTTGCTGTACGTCATGGAGGTATCATCCACATCTGCGCCGCGCTGTTATTCATTAAGTCTGAATATATCAGCAGCACAATTTTCGCATCCGCATGCGATTTAGAAGACGCGACGGCGTGTGTCTGTCCGGGCATCTCCGTTCATTCGGAGCTTTTGACACATGTGTAGACCAGTTCTCCATTTGACAACCACCCAGTCGGCCCCGCCGTGCCTGTTTCAAGGCGCTTCTGAGTTTTTGAAGCTGCGGCGAAGTGGAAGGAGCCCTGTACGAGAAGCACCCCAAAGCATCGCGGAGGACGGAAGTACGACGGACGCTTATCATTAGCTGCAGTCTCCTCCTGTTCCTCGTGATGCTTCGTCTTTTCAGCCGCGTACATTGTGGCGGCGGCCTGCGTAGGGACGACTACATGAAAGCTTTTGCGGCGGTTACCTTTTCCAACCCTCAGGGCAACCCTTTCTGACGTGGTTCAACCTGATTGCGCTGACTACGGTCTATCTGCATATCACAGGCATCGGTTACGGGATGCACTGCTGGACGATACCAGCTGCCAACGGGGCCGTTATTCGCAAGATTCGGTGACCACGGTACGCCGACTGATCGTAGTGCTTTGTCCTAACGCCAGGTCAGATGCTCTACGCTACGTTGGAAACTTAATCTACACCATCCTCAAAGCTGCCGCCAAGCTATCTATCATGCTTTTCCTCGGCCGCATCTTCCCGTCTGAGGCTTTTCGAAGGATTGCTCTGGGCATCCAGGTCGTTTTGCTGCCGCATGGCACGCTCTTCGCCATTCCGTTCGCAGCGCAATGCCTGCCAATGCAGTCGATCTAGGACCACACCATCACCAACCGTCAATATCTGAACTTACAAGCGGTGGGATACAGTAGCAACGAACTTGCCATAGCCGAGATCATGGCCAGTCTGCTCCTACCAGTGCCCTACCTGTGGCGGCTCTGGGTTTCCCTCCGATGGCACCTGGCAGTAATCGCGCTGTTCAGCATTGGCTCATTGTGCGTATTGTATATTCCTTTTCCCTCGCAGTGGGCAAAGCGAAGAGGGCTCAAACGGCAGGCAGCGCATGCGTCACGCCGGCCGTCCGGGTCAAGTACCTGGTACAGTATAGCACCACGTTCGACGAAACATGGGATCATGTGAATATTGTGGTGTGGTCGTTCATCGAGTAGTCCGTAGCGATGCTCTATGCGAGCTTGAGGAGTCTACGTCTGCTCATCAGCGGTAGGACCCGGCATCCGCCCGTGCCTCGTCGGTGACCTTTCTGAGCAAGAACGACCCCAAACACGAGTGGGATTGGTCTCTCAACAGACTGAAGCGATGCTGAACGCATATACGGAAAGATAGCGGCCACGGGCCTCTGCACGCAGGCAACGACGTTCTCGTGACGACAACCGTGGAGGCCGATCGACAATGCAGGATTTGTCGTGGATATGCCGTCTTTTCCACCTCCTGCCAATTCTGGGCCGAGAAAGAAAACGTGACAGTGGTCTCTGGCAGATGCAGTTACCGAGTGATATCTCTGATGAAGGGCTCTTTCCATGAACCAGTGCGTTTGATCGATGAGAGGAAGCAACACAGATGACAGAGCATAAATTGAAAGGCTGGTAGATGTTTGAGTTCTGCAGAGGGTGATCCGTTTGAGGACAGAGCCACAAATCTCCCTGTCAAAGTCATACGGCAGTCAACAAGGCGCACCTTCAGGCGGCAAATTGCGAAGGGAAACTTAGAAGGGAAGAAAGAGACGACAGAGCCACTCGTCACATAAAAGAGGACACAGCCATAATTACAAGACGTGACTAATGTATAGCCGTTCTTCGCAGAACCACGACCCATGGTCGCAGTCAAGCAGTTTCATTGCGCAGACCAGCCAGTGGTAATGATTGGCATGTGAGGTTTCTGGGAGTTTGAGAGTTTGGTCGCGACACTGGCGGTGGTGCCCGTCTCTTTCTTGTTGAGTTGCATATCCTGATCAGCTGTAATTAAGTGAACTTCTAATTGCGAGTCAATCTAGCGGCAGGCGGAAACAGCTGCTTCGACCGAAAGCTTCAGCGATCGAGTCAGGAAGCAAGACGATGTTGCAGATCTAGCCCTATAGGCTCTCGCAATCAGAACCATCAGTTGCATGCTGTGTGATCGAGGGTGACTGGCGAATCCCCAGCCCAGCCATGATCTTGTGGCACAGCAGACGGCGTCTGATGTTCATGTGCACAGTTAAATCCCACAGAAATCTGCAGTAGCCGGTTTGGGACGTCCGTCTGGGCCCATGTTTTATTTCGCTAACTGGTTGTGGGCCACAGTCCTGGCGGAAGATGCTCAGGTTCAACAACAGCGCAAAGCAACAAACGGCCACACCCACGTTTGGCTCGCCACTTCTCGACCCGCCTGCCGATAGCTTTGAGCATCTGGCGCACCCGGCTTGTGAAGACCCT